AAGCGAATGTTAATGAAATTTGGCAGATTATCAGTAACCGTTACAATGCTTTCATAGGCAAAATATTTTTTTTCATTATCAAGTCTTAAGGTTTATACAGCAATGTTTTTCTCAAATCTATTTTGTCTTTTCACATCTTGCCTATCTATCATACAAAGTAATATTCATTTTAAGATTAAAAATACTTTCATGCATCAGAAAATTTTCAAATTTCACATGCGGAATCTTTATAATGTCCAGATAGTTATCAAACATTTCTTAAGAAAAAACTTTATATTTTATCTGTTATTTTCAGTAATGAATCTCATGTACAGATTTGGTAGATTTGACTAGTCTCGCAACCACCATAAAAAATTAGGAAATAAATATAAATTATGCCTCTTTCGTTCTAGAATGTACACAAATTATAACACGAAAACATAAATGTTTAGACTAAATAGCTTAAATCTCATAACATTATACATTTATATATATTTAATATTTTTATTATATTGACCTTTCAGCCTTGCCCGGCTAACAATGCATGAGTTATAATGACGCTGCACACATGCACTCGTGTTACCGTATCCAATAATATAAAATTGACCTTTGGTCTGTACAAATTAATTTGTCTTGACTGTGTTTTAGTAGACTAGTATTTTGTAAAATACAGTCACATTTCAATTATTATACATTATATATGTATATAGATTATTGCTATTTAGAAATAAGTTCTTAAACTTATTTTTTTTAAAACATAGAACAGTAAATACAGTAGTAAAGCAAACAATTATCTCTCCTAGTTATGACCTTTGTACTCAGTTGCTGCTGGATGTAGGTTGCTAAATATATATATATATATATTTGAACAACTAAAAAATCATAAATTGCTATATAAGTACCATAGAATTCCACTATAATTTAACAAGCTTAGTAACTAAGATGTATTTTAGTCTAAAAAAATATGAAATTTCAAGTAGATTAAAGACACATAATATTGGTTCAAAAAGAAAGAAATGGTGTAGAGTCCATTAAAATGGCTAAGAAAGCCACTAGGAAGACATTCTGAGCTTCT